TCTTTTTGATATGTCTTTTTGACACAAATTGGCTGTGAGATGTTATTTTGCTGCTTATTCTTTTTATCTTATGGGATAGCTATATAGGATATGACCTTTCTGCCTTTCTGTTGCTTATTTTGATTGGCAGTTAGTTTTACTGAACTTTGAAGGGAAATTTGGTTCAAGTTGCTCTTTTTCTTTGTTTTTTCATTTTTATTTATTTTTAAATTGACAAAAATTGTTTATATTTATGGCTCACAACATGATATTTTGAAATATATAAATATGGAATGGCTAATCAAGCTAATTAACATATGCATTACCTCACATACTATATTTTGTGGTGAGAACAAGTTGCATTTTTAACTTCAGAGCTGCTTCTGCTTTTGTTGTTGTTGTTGTGTTTTTTTAAATGTAGCATTAAAAAAAATGTGGTGGCTTGCTTTTAGAGATGTTCTCCTGGCTTTGTTCCCCTTCTCCTTTTTTATCTGGGTCTTTTTTTCATCAGTGTTATTTGTATCCCACTCAATTTTGATTTTCTTCCCAGCAGTTTCTCCTCATTTGGGCCCTCTCCTGGAAAGGAGCCCCAGCAGGTCAGATTGGAAAATTCACTAGGGCTGGGCTGACTTTGATGTAAGCTCCTTGTGCTCATCCACTATTGGAGTGGGCAAGATCCCTCCCAGTGTCAACTACTGTTCTTAAAATGTGAGATTTCTAGAGAAAACCTTTTGGCCCTTTTGAGATTCTCCTATTCTCAGGTCCATCAGACATTAATCCTCTTACTCCCATGCTGATGTCATGCAGGGCTTATGGCTGGAGGTGGTTGTCTCTACTTGCATATATTTGGACTTGATTGGAATGTCATGTCCCCCAGTTTTTGATTGGGTTTTGCTATTTCTTTGCTGTGTCAGTTTTTGTCTGTTTCTTCTCTTTTGCTGACCCTTTTATGATGAACCTAGTTACTCAAACCAGAAACTAGGCAGTCATTTTCAGTTTTCCTTCTCGTTTACTTTTATATTTTAGTTCACTTCTTTATCCTTAATATTTCTTAAATCCTACCACTTCTTTCCATTTTCACTGTTACTATCTTACACCAGATTCCTATAACATCTCTGCTAGTGCTACAGTCTTAGAATCTGATCTCTCTGTTTCCAATCTAGATATTATCTACCTGTAGTTAGTGACCTTTCTGAAATGCAAATCTGAACCCAACTCTTCCTGACATTAAGAGCTACTTGCAATAATTTCTCCAAATGCCAATCTTTTTTCTCACCCCTAGAGTTCTGTCTGTAGTATTATTTTGTGTGCTTTGCCTTTTTATTGGAGAATGCCTATATCATTATTTTTTGAGAGAAAATTTCAATAATTTATATTTCTTTTAAAAGAAATCTGTAAGTTCACAAGAACTTGTTATAAGATGTATTGTATTTCCTAATGGTCTTTAAATATTTTTCTCACTTTGAACTTTCAACAGAAAAAAATAAATTCTAGACTGCTATGCCTGGAGTATTCCATTTCCTTTTGTGAAATCATGAACTTGAATTTATTAAACATAAACATATAACTGTGAATGTGAATAAACAAATAAAATGAAATTATTTTTAAGTGCCTTTGAGATAAAGCAAAGTGTGTTTGGTTCCATATTTAAATGATTCCCCTGTACAGTTCTCAGCTTTATCAAATCCAAGTAGCTGCCTTTATAAGAATAAGCATGTAATAAAAACTAAGAAACCTTTAAGTGATTCATATCACATCACCCTGCCAAGAAACCATGACAGGTTTATTATCTGCACACATCTGGGGTAGAATTACAAACAAGAACTTGGCAGGGAAACCATTTGGGAGCACTTTGGTCTTAATAGAAGAATGAATCTATATAGTATTAATTGGGACTTGCAGTTGGGTGGCAAGCATCATTCTATAAGAAGCAGACCTCCTGGAGCTTCTTGTTCGAAGTCTGCACTGCAGAGGGAGGGACCAGTGGGAAGAGAAAGGTAAAAAAACTGCTCCCACCCACCACATTCACCACCCTCCCGCTGCAACACATGCACATACCAGTGCATGTAAACCTCAGATCTTGGCTGTGTCCTCAATAGTCTTAACCCAGAGAAACTTAATTAAATCTACCCTATGTGGAAAGTAAGCAGAGAGATTCCCAGGTGAAGTGGTAACCAAAAGTAAATGATAAAGCTAGAAATTCACTTACAAATGACAAGGAAACCTGACATGAAATGGAGAGGGAAATACAAGTTTGAGAGGCATAAGATGAAATATCAGCTTGAAGTTAAAAATATCTAAACTACTTAGGTAGATTAAAGAATAATGATCTGAAAATGAAGACAGGTATTAAACAGGAAGAAAAGATCTTGGAAGTACGTAAGATGAATATATGAGACTTCCACAGCTTCTGGTAGAATACTTAGAATGGAGAGCACATCTTTCTTGTATAGAGTCCTGGTGTTAGGCTGTGAAATTACAGGAGAAGCGTCTCTGAAGGATTTCTAAACAGTAGAGAAATGGGGCCGATACAGAATGTACTTGTAGCTGTCACTCTGATTTCTGGTGCCGGAGTCAGAATTTTCCCGGGATACCCTATTATGCAGTGCTAATCATGCTGCTTTAATTGTCCCTTTACTTAGGAGTACGAGACCCAATCTAGTGCAGAAGCCAAATTTGTGAAGCAGCTAGACCAGTGTGAGATGATTCTTCAAGCATCTGAATATGAAGACCTTGAACACAAACCTGGAAGTCTGCAAGACTTCTATGATTCCACAGCAGGTACTCAACACGATTTTCAACAAGAGTCCGTTTTAGTTTGGCTTACTTAGTGTAGTGACCAATGTTAACATTAGGGAAACCCACTGTTAGTACCCTTATCTGACCCTTTCACGTGGAGCATCTAAAAAGAAAGGGAAGGAAACATTCGGGTAAGAGGTTGAGGATAGGAAATAAATGGAATAGAGTTTAATGTGGAATGAACAGTAAGCAACAACAGACACAGGCAAGAACAGACTGTGAGAGCAGAGATGTTGGGGTGAACAGTCCCCCATGCTAGCTGTCATGGACCTACGATAGCTTAGAGCTTGGTTGCTACCAAAGCAGAAATCTGGGGAGGTCTGAGGAGCAGGGATGACAGTACAGATCAGCCAATTGAAGTGTAGAGGTGTTTACAAGAGAGACACCTGCATCCTTGTTTACATCCTGAGCCGGCCTAGCCCCTCTGATCTTCCTCCTTGTCTTTTCATATATAGGTGCTTCATTCTCCTTACTTAATTGCAGGTTTGGGATGGGCAGAGATTGTCGTCAGCTTTCTGAGCTCTCACACCTGAGTTTTCCCATAGTTCCTGGTAGAGGCACTCAGGAGCCTGGTGAAGTTTCCCCTAGCTCTGCCTAATTGATGATTCCTTGCCTGAGTCTCATCCTTATTCTCAGTTGCACCTGGGGTGACAGAGAATAAATCCCAAGTGGTCCCCTTCGGCCCCTTCCCAGGACCTGCAATCTCCTTCTGCTTTGGAGTGAAGCATGGGTCAGATCACAGACTAGAGCCCCCAGTGAACCCTGGGATCAAGCTGGGGAAATGAATGTACTCTCTTGTCAATATGGGAATGTATTTTTTGCTGTTCTTTTGCTTTGCAGGAAAATTCAATCACCCTGAGATAGTCCAGCTTGTTTCTGAACTTGAGGCAGAAAGAAACGCTAACATAGCTGCAGCTGCCAGTGAGCCACACTCCTGAGACACTCTCTAAATTGCTGCACTCCTGTAAAAAACATTATTTTTCCATTTCATTGTATTGTGTTTTGCCATTGTTGGTCTGTTGATTTCCCTAGATGTGAGTCTGTTTGTTTTCAGTTGTCTGGACTTCAGCAAGAAATGTGATATAACTTGGGCACTAAAGCCACAGAACAGGAAGCGGTTATGAAAGTGCCATGGATGAAGACTGGAGGGGGCAGTGCCTGTTTATGAACTAAATAAATAAATATTAAACACCTAAAACTTTGGAGTATTTATTGGAGATTTAAAATCATCTTATTCTGACTTAATTACCAATATCCCCGAAGGCCAGATTCATTGAACAACAGAAAATTTCATTATGATTGCTTTTAAGAACAGATTCTTCAGCTGATTTAGTGATAAGAATCCAGAAAAGAAAATGTACTAGTAATGTATTCTCTCCCCGGATGAAATTGCTGCCTTATTCGGATTCACTCTCTTGAGCCAGATTCTGAATTTCACTGCAGACTGCTTCAGACTCCTAATCATAGGCTTGTAAACCTACTAATAAATAGGCTCTTCCCCTCTTCCCAGTACTTTTTGTCATTTAGAGATATAAATTTGGGCATATAAAAATGCAACTTGTATTCCTCTGTATATTTCTCCCTGACTTATAAATCTTGAGACTTTGATTGTAAGAGCATGTATCATCAGATGAGAAATATAAATAGGAACTGGGGTCATTGAGACTTAGGTAGGGAATATATCAACCCAATTTCTTCCTCTCTTCTCCCTTTTATAGGATAAATAATCCACCTCATCTGCTCTTACATTGAATAGTGCAAAAAGGAATATGATTTCCACAAACCTGCCACATATTTTGGTGTGGAGCAATGATGCTTGTCCCTTTAATTCAAATGTCACTTTCCATTTGAAGGCCTTTGAGGCTGGCATGCTGAAAATTCTAGGCAGCGTTTCTTTGGAAACTCTTTGCAGTATCCATGGATACCCAATCTGCAGGAAGCAAGGTGCATGATCTTTTCAGAAGCAACACACATATGTATGTGTAAATGATCTGTATCAAAAAGAAGAAAGAGGGTAAAGTCTGCTACTGGATGTATGGTTAGTAGGAAAACAACTCCATCTATTAGGAATGTGGAGATTTTGCCTTGGCATGAAAACATACACACAAAATAACCCCAGATAAAGTTCAAGTATTTCTAACCAGAAGGTGTTCTGTGGCCTCACAGTTTTATTTTCAATGTTTTGTCTACCATGATTTTCATAAATAGCTAACAACACAGTTCACAGAGAGACTTTGGAAACTTCTACTGGGTTAAACTTTGTGACTAGTCACTTAACCATTATCTCAGTTCATCATCTACCTGCCAAATGGGAGTTTTCAATTAATCCTAAACCTTCCTTCCTGAGGAAATACACCTTTTAAAGGAATAAAGAAAAAATATAGTAGTGTTATAAATAAAACATTTGATAAGATAACAAAATGAAGATCAATAAAATAACAGCTCCTGAGTCTGCCAGCAATGTCTATAAATATTTGAGCATTATTACTTAAAAATGTTTTCCTTAGAAGATACCTGCCACTTACCTAGAATTTGTCTTCTGAATGACAACCCTATAATTACAATGCAGAGTAAATAATTATTCATGGTTTGAACTCAAGAAAAAAGAATTATTTGTTACTGTTTGTCAGATTGTAGCCCAAACTGAGGTCCAAGGGGAGTTGGTGGGCTGGTGGCGGGTAGCTGGAAAAACTTGAGGAATCGTAGGCAGTTTTGACATGGCCTTATTCTCTCTCTGGGCGCGAGCCATATGTACAGCATCGGTGGGTAGTTAAACCTTTTACAGACAATAGTGAATCCAAGCCAAGCACAGGCTCCTGTGAATGGTCACCTAATGTGCCTCATGTGGCGTGGTTACATAATGTGTAGTTGTGCGCCTGCGTTCCAAACCCACTGAGTCATCCTGTGCCAGAAGGCTGCCTCAGCCTACTCCTGACTAAAATGCAGCCATTTCCCTTACACTCCATCCCCTAGGCTGAGGGGAGTCTTTCAGGTAGGGATATGTGCCCACAGGGTGGAGCCCTGAATTCATAACCCACAACAACAATACAGAGAGCGACGGCTCATTACTAGGATCCCAGCTATGCTACTTAGGACTATTAGGGCCCGGCGTAGGCCAGAGCCCAGAGATGTCCACCATCTCTGCAGGGGGTTACCACTAAGGCTCTCAACCACCCTGATCTCCCATGAGACCTCTTGCAGGGCTGCTGTTATGTTCTGCCAATTGTCAGGGATAAAGGTACAACACTGTGTTCTTAAAAGAGCACAGGTGCCTCCTTGTGCAGTAGGTTACTGTGTCTAAGCACATTCAGTTTTGCAACACCATGTTTCTCATCTGATGAGCCGCATCCATTAACAGGAGGAGGGCCACTTGGGTGTAATTCAGAGCCCGAGTGGTGTGCTCTGCAAGAGAGGTAACACGTACTTCTACAGTTGTGACACCCACTCCAGGGATAGTCACTGTCAAGGAGTAGAACCACCAAGGGGCTCGTTGCACTCAGAAACGAGAGTGTAGCGCCTCCCAGTTATGCAGTGTCTGGGCAATGTGGACAGAACAGTGGCAGGTACATAAGACCACCCCCAGGTCCAACATTTAGTCTAGTTCACTGGTAGATAAGGCCACCCTGTGTCCCCACAGACCCATAAACTCCCAGGGGGCACAAAGTCCATTGGGGCCCAACCTTGGTGGGGCTGCTTGTTCAGCATACCTTCAGTATGGTGACATGTGTTATGTTTACACAGGCCATGATGGGTACCCATCCCACAGTAGTGTTAGCCCAATGTTGCTCTATGCACTGTGACACCTGGGCTGGGGGTACTACGTGTTCCCCCACTAGCCAGCCCTAGCCATCATAAATGCTATGGGCCAGTCAGGTGATGGGAGTACCATGGATCTTGCAGCATCCTTTGTCTAAAGCTTGCCGCGTTGCATTCCAGTTGTCAACCATGGGACCCCAAGTCTCCAGCCAGGTCCAGTTCTCTGCAGTCACTGAATGTATATGCTAAGGCAAGTCATCTGCAGCTGCTGCTGGAAGGGCAGTGCAGACCCAAAAGTTGGAAACATTGGTCACCTCAGCATAGGTGTGGACGCAGTTTACAATGCAGTTGGAACATTTTAACCTATGGCCAAAATGGTAGAGCAGGCACAGCTATGAACAGGTAAATCATGTCCCTCAGGCAAAATGCAGGCTAACTTTTCATCCATGGATAACAATGCAGCTGCCAAGAGCTTCTGCCCTGGGCGATGGTACCACACCTTCTCAGCTCCCCATGGTTCCTATGGGTCCAGTGTCTATGCCAAAGTCAAGCAGAGTCAAGGAGGAGCTCATAGTAGGCCATGCAGACAGTACTTATGTCGCCCAGAGGAGTGTTTCTTCCCTGGCCATTGCCCTAAGAACAGTCAACCAAGGGTGGCATGCATTGAACGCCCAAGGAGTGACATGCAAGTCATACTGTAGGCCCTCCCCACAGGGAGCTACAATGGTCAACCACCAGCAGTGGGGAGCCTGGAGGGTCCATGGCCACAGCCAGGTTTTCTGTTCCCCTCCCTTCAGGGGCGTTGGGGCAGGCAACAAAAGGTTACCGTTCGTCCCCATACCTGGTCGGAGGAGGTCATCCTTAGTGTGTATCTGCAACTGAATAGGGGTGGTGGCCCAGTATAACAAAGCCTCTGCAAGGGCCGGGCCATCTTTCCATGGCCATTCATTCAAGGTTTGAACCACCAGGTCCAGCTTGGAACTCCAGCCCTGCAAAGACAGGGGTGTGACATGCAAGCATAACCCATTCTTCAAGAGCCCTTTGTATCACTCAATCGTACCTATAGCTTGTGGGTTGTATGGCACATGGAATCCCCACTTTATGTCCATTTGTTGTGCCCATTGTTGTACCTGTTGTCCAGTGAAATGGGTTCCCCTATCACTCTCTACAGCCAGAGGGCAACCATCCAGGGCACATAAGTGTTGCAAGACCCAGAGGATGTGCTGTTGATTGGCCACCCTGCAAGGGTAGATGTACAACAGTCAGGCCTGTGACCATGTCCACAGCTGTTAGCACATGTGTATATCCTTGCAATTTTGGCAGCAGCCCGATGTAGTCTACTTACCACCTAGTCAAGGTCACTCAAACTATTGTCACTTGTGTAACAGTGGGCAGATGCCTCCATCTAGGGTATGACTGAGTACATGCTGGGCATTTCTGATGAGCCTCCCAAATATCTTGCATTGGCAGGGACAGACTCCAACGCTTATTGCTCTGTTATATCAGTTTGCCCCTGGCATGTCCCAGTTTCTGGTGTAGCCACAAGGCCACATCTTGTGTAGGTGCCGACTAACCATTGGACCTTGGCCAAGACATCTGCCTCAACATTACCAAGAGGGGCCACACGCACATGGCCTGACACATGATAAATAGTTACATCTTTCTGATGACCCATTTCCCAGAGGTCTTGCCACATCACTTGGCTCCACATAGGCCAGTGGCCGACTAGCCAATTTTGTATTTTCCAAGTAGTTAACCACAAGGTTAAGCCTAGAGAGACTGCCCAACTATTGGTACAGATTACCATGGATGTCTGCTCCTTAGTGATCACCATCTATACTGCTCTAAGTTCAGCCCATTGGCTACTTTGCCCACACCCGGTTTCAAACCATATGGTGTCTGTACTAGGGTTGGACAGCAGCAGTGGTCCAGGCAGCATTAGATCCTAGTCTAGATCCATCTGTGTACCATGCCCCATGGGGAATGGGGGTTACCCTTCCTTAAACAGTGATGGCTTGGGGTCTAGGGGTGCCTCAGGCCCTATGGCCTCTTGCATTAGGTCTATGGGTTCCAAGACCTCTTGCAACTCTGCTGCTAAGGGTCTTGTACTCAGCAAACTTCGCTGTTCCAAGTAGGTGCCCCACTTTGCCAAAGTGGATGTCTGTGCCATCCCAGTCCAGGGGGACATTACCCATGAATGCACCCATGGTGCTATTGGGTAAGCCATCCACGTGATGACTGTAGCCCATTCTGTCACACTCTCACAAGACTGAAGTGCAGCATATACAGCTGCTAGCTGTTTCTCTATCAAGGACTGTTGGAGCTCAGCTCTTTTCCATAGTTGGGACTAAAAGCCTACTAGTGTTCTCAGGCACTCTGTGTGCTGCCACAGGCCCTAACTGAAACCATCTGTGGTCACATGCACATCCAGCTCAAACAGGT